AATGTAAATTACAAAGGTCATATATCAATGTTAAGGAAACATTACCACTAGTGTTTGAAATCCAGCACATGCAAACATAACAGCCCAGTCCATTTTAAGTCTGTGTGTGTATGTGTGTGCCTGCACACATGTATAGAAAGAATACTGCATTACATTTATTTCAAATGAAAAATGCTTTAAATTTCAGGTTCACAATTTTGTACATTATCTTCTTGCTAATCCAATTATTAACTCATTTAAAATATATCACTGTGTATAATTAGATGAATTAATGTTCTTCCTAATAAGCAAAATTAAAAATTTACGAAACTACTTTTTCATTCAGTACATATACAATTAAATGTCTGTTGTAGCTTAAAGTATATCCAGTCAGGAGGATTAAATAGTGATTGTTATTTTTCTATTTGAAACATATAGGAATGGTATTTCTATCTTGGAACCCCACTGGGGGATGGAGGATTCTAGAAGCCTGGAAGTATAAATAGTGGCACTGATGTGCAGAAATTCGCTTCAGTGCAGAGGCTGCAGAGGCCTGTGTTCTGCTGTTTGTGTGATTATTTCTGTACTTAAAAGCCTGTAAGTGATATTTGATCTTTTCAGTTAGGTTTTACAAAATTACATCTCATAGGTATCACTAGGTAGTTGCTTTTTGAGATAGAGTGATATAACATTTAGCATTAATCTGGGAAATATGAGCATGAGAAACACAAATAGTATACAAATACAGCTCTTTGTCTTAAGGTAAACAGGTAAACAATGATATAATAATTTCTTGGGTTAGTGGAAATTGGCTTTCTGTGATTTTATATAATTTTTACATTAGTGAAAATTTAACTTTGCTAGTATCTCTAGTATACTCTAATAGATTAAATACATGATTAATGCCTTTTAGAATTTTTATTTTTAAATAGCTTACTTGGAAAAAGCAAACTATTTCTTTGTTATTGTGTTACACTCTAGAAAAAAACAGTCTTATATGTAACATTTTCAATCAATAAATAATTCATATCCTTTAATGGGTTAGTGTTAGGAAAACATAGATTGCATTCTTTCATTGAGATTTATTGTTAGACACATTTCGTATATGTTATTATTTCTGACACAAGGTTATACAAGCCAGTTATTTATGAATAATTTGCTATTATCTTTACTATATTAAAGCTTTAATTTGTTGATGTTCTGCCTAAGTACCAAACAAGTGAAAGTTACTAATAAGTGTTTGTATTTGACATCTGTACACTGTACTTTTTAGCATATTTCAAGTGTTTTAGTCCCAGCCTAATAGAGCTCATTCAAAAAACAGATATCAGCCCCAAGACAGTTTGCCAAGACTAATATGAGTCCCCCTGGATTGGATTGACTATTTCTGTGAGGCTTCATATGAAAGTCTTTTCATGGTCTTATTTGATCCTTAACAATAAGCCATTAGTCATTGATTTATTTTATAATAACTCACGAGTTGAATATTATTGTATTGTGTTAGGTATTTTAGTGGATTTTCTTTTTTACAAATTTTACTCAGAGCACACATTGGATGTAAATGATGTAGCCAGCCTGCTAGGGGAGCACTAACCATTGATTGGTTGGATTTGAGAGCAGCATGGGAAGAGTGTTACTATCCCCTAGCTGCAGACCATATTTAACTCCAATCTTAATGAGGACTGTCTGTCCTAAAGGGTCTGAAAAATCTCAGATGCTTAGCATTCCACTGGCGTGTGTGTGTGTCTGTGTGTGTGTGTGTGTGGCTAAAATGTGGGTCCAAGTAAAAATTTTATATGAAGAGTATTTTTTAAAAAGTCAATGTATAAGAAGGGCTCTTAAAGAATTTTAGTAGAGGTTTTTACAACTTTTGTTTCTGAATCTCAAAAAATATAATCCTGGGATATTCCACTTTTAATTACTTTCCACAGTGTATTTTCCTTTTCCTGAATTTCCTCCTACTTGTCCTTTCTTCTTCCCTCAAGACTTTGGATAGGCAGCTGTCATTCAGTGACCCCAAAAGGATGAGCTAACTTTGTATAGAAATTATTTCAAAACTTCTTTTATACCTGTCACAGTTGTTCTTTTGGGTACATTTTCAGAGTTTTAGTAAATTATGAGGAATGCTTTGAAGTTCTCTAATGAAATTTTTACTCTGCTAAGAATTTAAAAAGTTCATTCACAAAAGCTAATGTGTTTATCACTCTCTGGAATACAGTGCCAAGTAATTCTGAAAATTACCTGTTGACCCCGAAAGGACTGAACTGCAGCAGCATAAGTGGAGGGAGGGCCTATGGGTTCATAATAGGAGCACAGCGTTGTTCCTTTCAGCATTTTTGCCTAAAATTCTGTAGTGTCAGGATGTAAAGCTTTAAGCATTTAAATCTAACCAACCTCGCCGTTTTGAATGTGAATAAAGAAGTAATCAACCATTGGGAAATTTCAGTTCTTTGTTTGATAACACATAAAATAAAATTACCCTAGTTTTTAGAGCTTTAATATGGAGAAAATTCATTTGTATTTCATCATTTGCTGAGCCTTCGAGAATTTTATAGTCTCAAATCACGAACCACAGACACTCAGGAGACTCCTGACTGTTTTACCTTATTAAACAATTTTGAAATCATTAATTTTTAATTAGCTTGGATGCAGGTTTTTTATTGTTTCAATAGTGAGTGTATATGAACTAAATGTTTTTTATTTAAACTACTGGCGAGAGTATTATTTACATGAATAAGTGTAAGTTCTTCCTGAGAACACATACTGTGAGTTTGCATTGTATAGTAATACTTTTTCTTAGCATCAGAGATACTGCTTATTAATCTATTATAATAGAGCTTTTTGGCAGTTTATTAATTCTGATTTTTGAACAAAACTAAAAAGGATATAAGCTCCAAGATATATATAAGTCCTTCCTTGATTGAAAGTTCTAATTAAGTGAATTGGAGAAAATTAACTGAAATTAGCTGTCAGAAAGTCACATTTAAATGAGTGATGAGCTAGTCTGGCAGTAAACATTTAAATGATATAAATTGCCATTTAAGTGTATGGTTTAATGTTTGTCATGCATTAATGTGACACGAGACTTCAGTGACAATCAAGCAGCTTGCTCTAATTTGAACATATTTAGGGCTTTTGTGTGGAGTGCACTGCACACAAATTAAGACAATTGCTGTTTTTATTGTCACTTTAAACGTGCCCCCCACTCCCCCCATCCCTACCCAAGGCCTGAGTTAATGAAACAAACGTATTATTTTTGTATGCAACTTACATTAGTAGTTCCTAGATGTTTAGATTCATTTGAAATTCATTTACTTAAAATATGAATTTATTTAAAGTGACCCTTCTCTGGTTTGAGAAGTAAATATGAAGTAGTTTTGCGCTGTCTTATTGCTTTACTGAATTGACAAATACAATGAATTTTAAAGTAGATATCTAAAACAATAGCTTTCATATCTATAAAGTAGCTAAATTTTTTTAGGAATATTTCATTTCAGGTATACTTTGAAATGTGAAAGTTGCCCAGTGCCTAGAGATTTATCTACAGAATCATATTTTATATTTTATAGTATTGTGAAACCATATAAAATGCTATTAAATGAAATATATTATTTGTATTTTGCTGTAAACATTTTTCTTATTCAAAGGTACGTATATTAACTCAGCATATATTTGCACAAGAGTACACCTGAGAACCAGCAGGAATATCTTTTGTTGCAAGATGGTATATATCTTACTGGTTGTTCCTATAGAAACAAATCAGTTTTGGAGCTGCAGGTGTAGCTCAGTGGCAGAGTGTGTGCTTAGTATGTGCAAGGCCTGGGGTTCAAACCCTGCCCCTCCCCCAAAGAAATGTTAGTCAATTTTGTTTTAAAACCTACAAATCTCTCCCTCTAATATTTATTTCACTAGCAGCAAGCTGCAAGAAAAAATATCATAATCACACTTTCTCCTCTAAAAATAAGAATTAATTTCAGTGAGGTAGCAGAGATATTTAATAGATAAAGCCAGACATAATTTGGTACACGTTGAGAATTCCTTGACTTTTATAGCATCATTCAGTGATAAACTAGTTGATAATGGTAAACTTTTATGCTGTTATAATTATATAGAATGAAGATTAATACTTCCCTAAAAAGTTTTTAGAACTGTTTAATTTTATAACTTTACTAAATTCAGCAGATGTTTACTGGCACCTGTCATGCTTTTGTCATAGTCCTAGTGAGTGGGAATATAATGATGAATAGGAAACGAAACTTGTGCCCAGCATCTCAACTAACCCCTTGATTATGCCCATTCATTATTTATTGAGCACTGTTATTATAATAGCATAAAGTGTTTGGTTTTATATTGCTACCTAGAATAATAAACCAGTAATTATTAACGTTCACCACAAAATCTAATTTCTTAGAGTAAAAACTCAGTCAAAATAACTAAATAATTTGGGCAGTAGGAGTAGGCTGAAAAATGTTTTAATTCTAGAAAATAAATCATAAATATTTCCAGTGGATAGTAAATTTTTAATGTTTTCACATTTGCTTTCCTGAAGTTGCCTTTACACTAACTGTATGTTCTTTGAAGAATAAATTGAGCACCTGTCAAGGCATGATTTACAAATGTCACCAAGATGGGTCTTCACTGTGCTAATACTTCAGCAGTTCAGCATGATAAATGCCTGGAAGTCTCTTGTTATATGCAGAAAACAGATTCTGGCAGAAAAGAGGACATCAAAATGTGGTTTTTCATGGTGCTGTGTATTGAACCCGGGGCGTTCTCCATGCTGAACACATGCTCTGCCTCTGAGCCACCCCACCATCCTGGGTTTTGTCTCTGGTGTTGCCCTGGTGGCCTGGGATTCTCAGTCCTCTTAATTGGCCTCTGAGGTAGCTGAGATTTTGGTGCTGGCCCCTCACCTGGTTTTTGTGTTGTTAATTTGTTACAGTAAGTATAGTGTTGAATGTTACTTTGTGTCTCCAAGGTTTCTCTGTATTTTAACAACAGAATGGTCTCTACTTTTTCAGGCCTTGGAGAGTGAATTTGTTTCCTGCCAGCTTCACCAGTGGATTGATCTCATTTTTGGCTATAAACAGCAAGGGCCAGAGGCGGTGCGCGCTCTCAACGTGTTCTATTACCTGACTTACGAAGGCGCAGTCAGCCTGAACTCAATAACTGATCCTGTGTTGAGAGAGGTAAGCTGTGTGTGGGAGTCAGGAGCTGAGAGGCGAAATCTTTGGGCTCATGGTACTGTATCACCTTCCCCATACCCTCAGCACACTGCTGAAGAACAGAGAGGGGTGGGATGTGCCCTGAGCTGGACCTGAGTGACTTCACAGGGAGTTGAACTCAGAGCTGCCCTCCACTGCAGTATTTGACTCAATAGAAAATGAGAGCTTTATCGTTTGAACCTCTTATTTACAAGTCATATTTACAATTTTTAAAGCTCTTTGGGCCACTAACATGATTTCAAGTTTAGGAAAATAGTAATTAATTCATTAAAATATGACTTTGAGTATAAATATGTAATGCAATAAAACATTTATATGTAATATATAAATACATATGTAACTGTGTAAAAGCTAATGGTGAGACCAAAGTCTAAAACTGTCCTATGTTATCAAGTTTGTTAAATGTTAATAAGGCTTGTTTTGTTTTTGTCATTTAGCTTCTAAGATAAGACACTCAAAACATGATTTTGGCAAATATAGTATTCACTAAAAATTCTGTAGAACATGCGGCTTTTTAAAATTTCTAATCTAATTATTCTGCTAAGTCCAACATAACTCACATGAAGCAGTAATGCAATTAAATACAACCTGAAACATCTACATGATTTTAGAGCAGAACTATACATAAAACCAAAGTATTTGATTCATAGTGCAAGTTGTATATTTTAAAGGATACATTATTTGTATCATGTAAGGTTTATCAATTTCCATCAGACTTGATGCATTTCTGTGCAGTTCTACTTATGACTTGATTATATGAAAGCATATAAGCACATATTTAAATAAATTGGTATATTTTCACGTGGCTTATGTGCTAGATAAAAGTCCACAAATAAAAGCATAGTGTATTAGATATGCATTTACCCGTAATTGTTCAAAATTTGAATTTCTCTTTTTCATGTTTTAAAAACTATGGAAGTAAGAGAGCTGAGTCAGACTCTGTAAGATCCTTTCATGTTTTTCATTATTTGATAACGTTCTTTTTTGATTTTACTAGAGTAGCAACTATATGACAAAGAGCATTCATAGGATTCTGTATATGAAATTGCAGTTAGAGCGGCATGCAAGTGTTATTACAGGACAGAGCATAATTTCACTGTTAGAACTGAACAGCATGATCCTATCTACTTTCTTTTTGTTTTAGCAATATTGTCACAACAGTATTGAACATTTGCTACTTTTTAAGGGATTCTTCAACAAACTACCTTCTTTTGTTTTTTCTTGTTCCCTTGCAGTAATTATCCATTTTGTAGCTCTATATAGCTCATCTATAACTGAATTTGCCCTGTACATCAATTTTATAATTTCCTATTATACTTCACATATCAGCAGTCTTTGTTATATATAATCTCTGTAGTTTTAATCCTGAAATTGCCTAATATTCCATAGAGTTACATAAAAATGCACTTAACACTCATCTTTCCAACGTGATATACTGTCATTTAAACACTTGTCTTTTGGTGTCAGTCAACCAGCTCTGCCTTTTCCTTCAAGGAGGTTTATGTGACATTTGCATCATGAAACAGTGCTCACCTGTGTGTATCTGCCAAGGTAGTTAGCTGATGGTCACACCATGAGATTGGCTTTGTTTCCTTCTGGGTTTTATTCTGCGTAAATGTTCCTCAGCAATGATTTTGAAAGAAATTTACAGTATAGTCTAGAAGAGTGCTGTGCAATACAGCTTTTATAGCGACCGAAATATTTATATCTGCACTGTACAATATGATGGCCAGAGCCACACATGCTCTCTGTGCACAAACTGTAGCTAGTTCGACTGAGGGGGACCGAGAGTTGGATTTGATTTAGTTTTAGTTAACTTCAGTTGAAGCGAGCACAGAGGACTAGTGGCTGCAACCCTGAACAGGAGAGCTCTAGAGAACTGTGCTGTAATCTTTGTAACCTGATTTCAGAACCTAAGCTCAGGGAATGGGACAATAAGTATTAGCTTGTTTAGTAGGATATTTGGAAATGTATCATTTAGACTTTAGATATGTATTTGAAATATAGATGTAAATTAGACTGTATTTTTCTTTTGCCTAAATGGATTATAATGTCAAATAAAAATACATTTAGACTTTAGATATGTGTTTGAAATATAGGTGTAAATTAGACTGTATTTTTCTTTTGCCCAAATGGATTATAATGTCAAATAAAAATACAAAATAAGGGCTAGGGATTTAGCTCAGTGGTTCCACCACCTGCCTCACAAGTGCAAGGTCCCAAGTTTGATCCCTGCCTAAATGGATTATAATGTCAAATAAAAATACATTTAGACTTTAGATATGTGTTTGAAATATAGGTGTAAATTAGACTGTATTTTTCTTTTGCCCAAATGGATTATAATGTCAAATAAAAATACAAAATAAGGGCTAGGGATTTAGCTCAGTGGTTCCACCACCTGCCTCACAAGTGCAAGGTCCCAAGTTTGATCCCTGGTACAATAAAAAAATAAAAAAAATAAATAAATAAATAAATAAATAAATAAATGTAAAACCATTGTTACCATTTTTGAATGTACAGTTCAGTAGCATTAAGAACATTCTCATAGGGTTGTGGGTGTAGCCCACTGGTAGAACATGTTCTGAGCATGCACAAAGTCCTGGGTGCAAAACATCCCAGTGTTAAAAAAAAAAATCACATTGTTTTGCAACAGTCACCACCACAAATCTCCAGAAGTGTTTCATCTTCTCAGATTGAAACTCCATACATTAAACATTCACTCCCTACTGCTTCCTCTCCTGAGTCCCTGATAACCAAAATTCTACTTTTTGTCTCTATGAATTTGTTTACCCAAGGTACCTCATATAAGTGGGATTATTGATTATTTGTTCTTTTGTGTAAGGTTAATTTTATTTAGCATGTCTTTAAAATTCATCCATGTTGTAGCATATATCAGAATTTTCTTCCTTTTAAAGGACGAATAATATTCCATTAGATATGTGTACTACATTTTACTTCTCTGTTCAACCATCTGTGGACATTGTGGGCTGTGTTTTGACTGTTGTGACTAATCTGAAATTAGCGTATGAGTATTTATTCAAGTCTACTTTCAGTCTTTTGTGTATGTGCACAGTATAGAATTGCTGGATTATGTTGTTCTTCTGTGTTTAACTTTTTGAGGAACTGCCATACCAAATAAATTTTTTATATTTATTTTTCATGATCATCATTTGCTAATGACTATTTAAAGCTTTTGCTTTAAATTTCTTTGACATCCTTCTCTTTCTGATAATCTCAAGTAATTATCAGAAAATTAAGTCTTAACTGGATAGTTTTCCACTCATTATACCAATTTATATTTATAATATATAGTATATGAGACTTTTATAATAGGTCATGTATATTAGATTAGATTCTACATTCAGTAAATAATTGTGACCCATGATGTTCTGAGTGTGATAGGTGTATGATATTCTTGAGATAAGAATACATCTCTGTTACTTAGCATTATTAATATGTTACTAAAATAATCTTTTATCAGTACCTTTCCATACCATTGGCCAGAGCTAAATTTCATAGCAGAATGTAGTGTGATACAATTAACAAATAAATAAGTCGATACAGATTTGACTCCTCTGATGACTACTGGTTGTGTTACTTTGATCTTTAGCCTCTGTTTCCTGAAATACAGACTTAAGTGTGATAATTCCCAACCTGTTCAAGACTGGACAAGACACAATGTATGGAAAGTGCCAGGTGTGGTGCCTTTTGAATCATAGGTGTGCAGCAATTGTTAGCTTCTTCCCTCATGTTGTTTACACTTCGATCCCTGAGTTAGAAAAGTAACAACTATAAAAGGAATATGAACGAGTCATGACATTATAGAATAATAAAATGTTGACCCTAAGAAGTTACTAGATGGCATTTCGTAGAGGACACAGAGTTCATTTTTACGTGAGACAAAAGAAAGCAGAAAACAACAATAATTCATTGTTTTTTAACAACCTTTTATTAAACCCAAATTATGTACTGAGTTCAAAGGATGGAACTCTGAGCTCGAGCTCATTATCTAATAGGAAAGTGGGATAAGCACACAGTCCAAACGTGCTGCAATAGATTCAGTATTGAGGTCAATACATGCATGTGTGGATGCCCAGGCATACACATAGCTGGTAAACCCACACTGAGGCAGTGCAGGCATCTTCTTGGGGAACAGGCAGCTGTAGGATGAGTAAGACCAGTGAGGGGAGTGTGGACACAGGATAGCCATGCTGCGTAAGCGATGATGGCTGGAGAATATGTGAAAGGAGTAGAAAGTGATAAGGAAAATGAGACAGGAGCCAGATCATGGAGAGCCTTCAATACCATATAAATTACACAGAGACCACAGAAGCACTGTGCTGCCAAGTGTATTCCCAACTGTAAAGGAGAAAGTTTTAGCAACTTTATTGAGATACATTTCGCTCACTGAAAGTGTACGATACAATGGTTGTAGTATATTCACAAAGTTTCACGACCATTGCCACAATCTAAGAACATTTTGCCACCACAAAAGGAAATCCTTGTACCATTAGCAGTCCTCCAAGGGGAAACGTTTTTCTGTGAGTAGATAGGTGTTTGATCATGTTTCCTTGAAAAGATCCAAAAACTGGGAAGTATGTCAGACAGACAGGAAAGAAAGCATGTTATGGATGCCCAACCTCTATGAGAAAGTGGGACAGAACAAAGTCCAGAGCACAGATAGAGATAAGCCCTGGCTGGACAGGAGGGAACGATACTGCCTCTTCTGTAATTGGAGAGTCGAAGGTAGCATGGCATGAAGGCTTGTCTGAGTCACTATGTATGAACAAGTTCGGAAGCAGGAAGACTATCTTTATACACATTTGTGCCAAGGGTGAGGTACTATGTATTTATAGAAACACCTAACAGTGATGGATGCTTCATAGGTGCTGCTTAATAATTGTTCTTTTCTGCATTGTTTTTCTGTTTTCAACAGCAGAGTATGGTGGAATATATATATACAT